TTCACAATGTTATAGTTAAAAAAGAATACAAAGTACATATCAGGGACAATAAATTACTGCTTTCTAAAACCTACAATCTCAGAGATTATCAAAAGTTTTATGTTTAGGTGGTAAACTGAAGGGAAAAAATTATGCAAAGCTCTTATAATAAGATAGAAACAAAAAGAAAAGTTGTGTGAAAAATGTTTAGTACAATTTTTATTATATTATGTGATATAGAGGATATTACATGGCAACACTGTGATGCAAAATTTCTCTTTGAGAGTTTAATTTTATTTTTTTAACATGAGAAGGGGAAAGGAGAAATTTTGTACCTCCAAGGTGCCATGTAATGTTCTGTTTATTACATTAACACCAATGAAATACTAAACCATTTCACTTTGATATTGTTTGGCTGCAAAAGGTGCAATGTTTTGGGGGTGATCTTTTCACATGTGAAGAAATCATGTTATTTTTACATGTGAAGATAATTCAATCATGATTCCATGTGAAAGGAAACCTGGTATTTTATTGGTGTTTATATAATATAAAATATATAAATCGCTTTTTTTAGTCTCTATCTGACCTGATGGAGTTTACAAATCCAAGATATTTCTTATACAGTCAAATCTGCCACTAAAAGCGCATCTATTGACAGAGACAAAAAATCCATCAAAATTTAGTTTAGTTGAAGTCTTTCAACTTGGAGAACTTTTACTAAGGTTTCCAGTAGAATAAAGCAGTTGTTACAATGCTATTCTTATATGTGTCTATAAAAATGTTCCTCAAAGAAGAATGCGATAAAGAACAACTGAACCTTAAGGTAATTCCCTTGTTTTGCACTGTGTGTTACCCACTGCACATAGAAATTGGGACTTCAAAGATCGTGGTGATTTTTTATCAGTCACCTAAAAAGAGGTACCAAAGGCCCCTTTTGTAATCCTGATGCTTTTAGTAGCGATTTTGATAACAGCTAAAAAACACTCAGAATTAAGGGCACACAAGGCAAAAACAAGCACGGTGACCCTATCTTTTTATTGCAGTTTTTGAAAGTTGTATATATGGCTGACAAGTGTGCCAAGTTGGAAAAAAATCTAGGTAGCACATCCTTTTCAAGGGAATTACTTTAACCCTTAACCCTAATGCAGCGGTTTTATAAATCACAAACAAAAAACCTGCAATGTAAGAGTCCAGGTGCACGCAAGGAATGAAAGTTGAAGTAATAGCAAAAAATTCGAGTTCAGGGTTTGGATGACCTCCCAAACCCCCTCCTCACCTTTTTGCTCTCCACCCATGGGAATACTTGCTACATGTATGCCACCTACCATTTTTTACTAAAAGTCCAACTACCTCAGCACCTCTATACTGGCTACAGGCTCCATTAAAGGAATTTCTTACACACGCTAAGTACTTTACAAAGTGCAGAACTATGTTAGATAACCACAGCTACAATTCAAGCTACAAGTGGTGCTGTGTCTATGAAGCATAAATAGTGCAAGACCATCATTTGCTTTTAATCAACAGCCTGCAAGGTCAGAGGGTTTGTCTTGTATCAACACATTTTATCATCCTGCATGTTAGTTGTAACTCTTCTCTGAAAGTTGAAACACATCGGCACAACTCAAGCATCAGGCTCATACCTAGAAGATAACAAGAGAGTGTTAGGTCTCTCCTGAAAATCCTTCCTCAACTCACCTTCCAGTGGGAAGGTGTCACCTGAAAAAAGTTTGAGGTACTAGGGGGCTGGTCATTTTTTACCTGTGAGTGTCGGTTGCCCAGTTTGCAGGGGAATCATTTTCAAAAAATTTATTTGTTTTGGGGCGTCGTTTTCGGATCTTGGAGCGTTACATTGGGGGTCTTTTAATAAATTTCATAAAAGTGGTAAAAGGCAATATCCTTCTGTTAGCTGTCTGTTCAAAATCAAAACTGCAATACAACTTGTCCAATTAGAAAAATGCAGTTTAGAAGAACAGTAGTACTAAATTTAGTATGCACATCAATATAATCACTGTGTGACATACGCACTCTTAAAATGATCGTATCGTACAAGGCAAAGCATTTGTTGGCAGCTGTTACTGTAACGAGTGTGAATTGAAACAGAATGTAACAGCTGTCAATAGTAAACACCAATCTTACAAAGACAACTGTACCGAGATAAATGTGTTGAACTTCGGCACGATTTGGAACGAGAACATTCGTAGTTTTCTCAGCAATCAGGTGGGTGGGGCAGTCACTTTCACAATAAATTATGTCAAACTTATGGGGGTCATTTCTAAAAATCTAGTATGAGGTGAGTGGGTCGGTTCCAAAATATTCTAAACATTTTCAAAAATGGCCAGCCCCCAGCCCCTACAGGTTAAAAACGACTAGCCCCTAGATTTGTAGTAAGGAAAACAGCAACATTTCAGAGCACAATTCACCTAAGGCATAAAATAGATCTCTGCTATTCGAGAATGAATAAGCATACAAATCATACTCTATCTATAGTCTTGCTTACTTTATGTTTTTCTGTTTGTGCACAAAATCCTTTGCATTCATTTTTTGGCTGTTTGTGCATGAATGTTCTTTTCATACTTCATAAGTTTGAAACTGATCTAACAAGATGGCTCATAAAAATTAAATTTTACCAGTGACATTTTGACTACTATTTAAAATGGTTGTACTCACTTTCGTAATCGCCCACGCAAGTCTTTTATCTGGTCATTCTTTGATGTTAACATCTGCTTCATATTCTTGTATTGAGTTGTTTCATTAAACTTCTTCGTAAGATCCTGGGAACAACAGAGGTTATTTTATGAGAAAGGCTTCTTCAACATTCAAAACTAATTTGATATCACTAAATTTTTGTTTTCATAATTCTGGTAACACCAACCTTTTGTGCTTCTTCAAGATCATGCTGAAGCTTCAAGATCTCATGCTACAAGAAAGAATATCATTTTTTAGCAGCAGATTTAGCAGTAAATATCGGCCCAATGACAATGACCAACATTGATTATCACCATCATCAACATCATTCATCAACTCAAACTCTTGCAGTATTTGAGATATGCCTTATTAAGTCTGAAACACTACAGGGTGTCCCAAAAGTTCATTCCTCTACTTTATAAGACTGTATTTCAGTACGATTGGACTTGGTAAGCAAATCATTTGAAGAAAAGTTGTGTCTTTCAATCTAATTCACTATTTTCATACTGATGGTGCCATATTTTGACTTGAATATTCAATTTGTGTAGTCTGCGCCAAAGGTGCCCGTGCGCGAGTATATTTTCCAGCCACATATTTTTTGTATATTTTCATAGCCTGAATTGCTTGAACTCCTTCCTTGTTTTTTGTGAATATCAGGAAAGATAAACTCTCTTAACCCAAAAACGTTCAGCTACGTGAGAGCATAAGCACGTATACTTCGATTTACTGGCTTATCTGTTGTAGAAACTGCTTTAAAAATAGAATTAATTCGCATGTTGGGTGGTAAAATGATCATCGAGAAATGGAGGTAAACTTCCGTTCTTTGCTTCCCTTCTGGTTTTCAGGACTTATTTCGTCGATTTTATCAAAATTAGAAGACTAGATACAAAATAGGAGACTCAACGAGGAAGCTCTCACATAGTTAGCCAGCCAAGTCCAGAAAGGGTCATGAAAATTTGTTTAAAATGTTTAAATTTAATGGCCCTTGAGATGGCAAAAGAAAAACTCTGCTTAGTCTGCCAAGTAACGCCCAGCTCGTCTCAATTTTGTAAAGAAGTACAAAAGCCTTGCTGTGGAAGTGGGTGGGGATGATTATCTTTTTTGGATGAACGCCCAAAATAAGTTTTTTTCAGCTGCCTAAACTAAACAATATTGTTTGGGGGTTGAACTGGCTCCTGCGCACCAGGTGATATAAAAGCTCAAAATGGATCATCTAAGGGTCTACACACCGTATCCCACTTCAAGACACAATGGCTACAGAATGTGATAAAATAACAAAAAGGGCATGGCAGTTACTGAAATTCGGAATACATATACTCGATAGAGAAATAAACATCTTGTAGAAATTTCATGTGAAAATAACGTTTTGATCAAAAGTTATAGAGCATGAAATTAGAGGAACGAACTTTTGGGACACCCTGTACACTTTCTAATAAGCCAACAGCCAGAGGAGGATAACTTATATTATTTTTCTGGAACTGTAAATTTTAATGTGCCAGCCCATAGATCCAAGATTTTTATCAGAAAAACTCTTAATAAATGCCTCATAGAGATTTTTTTCATTCAGCAACACAGGCATATAACATCTCGGAAGAAAAAATTTTGAGTACCCCCAACCGGAGTTGTTCAAAGCAGGGTTAAGATAACCCACGGTTAGTGCGAAATTTGAATTCAGATGTAGATGCTGAAAAAGCAAATTCAGTTTAATTCCTTTGGTCTGCAATTTGGTGATTGGATGTTCTAAAAAGAATAGGGAAAATCCAAGAAAATGCTTTTAAAGAAAAGAAAAAAGAAACCAGATTAAAATTTAGCCCTAGGTTAGAGCTAATCAGCCCTTGAACAATATTGGGCAAACATCCTGCATACAGCTATTTTGAGAAAGGTTGTGGGAAAAAATGTGCACGCGACAATCCCGAAAGGTAACATGGGATATGACCAATACAATGTTCCTGACGCTGTAGCTGTTGAGCCTACTTTTGCTACTTTCCTTTAGCACTCGCAAACATACGTCCATGGCCTTTCAAGCCATTCTTGCAAATTTCTTTGAAGTACAGTGAACTCAAAACCACCCAAAATACCTTTCGGAATTGTTGCCTGCACTTTTTCCGACAACCTTTCTCAAAATAGCTGTATATACCGCTAGGACTGGAATGTGTGCAATGACTAAGAAATATTACTGTGAATTTTAAATCTGGTGAATAGGTTGAGGTTAGATATTATCCTTGGTTTAAATTTGGGTATGATAACAAATTAATGATAACGATGTGCTTAAAACAAAGGAAAATGAAATTTACACCAAGGATAAAACTGAACCACAACAAATTCATGGGAAAGTCAATCTTTATGTTAATAATAAATAAATCCATACCTTGCTGCTGGTTAATTCCTCTTCCAGTGATGCAGCATGAGATGAGCCTTTATCTTTTGCCTACAGAACAAAAAACATTGTTCCATGCACATTTGAAAAGAAAGCTCCAACTCACATTTGCAGCAAATTATAATCCAATTTTTGAGAGACCTAGCGTAAATTAAAGTTTTCATTTTTTATTTATTTGTTTTTTATTTTTTTACTTTATTTTATTTTTATTTTTTGTCTTACATGAGAACACAAATGATTGCCTCAAAACATAATTTATATTATGATGTTGAATGTAAAGAATAGCGAATGGTAGATTCAAAACTCAAGTCAGATTTATTTTAACATTAAACAGGCACTTCTGCAAACGTTTTAAGTCCTGGCAAATCCTACTGAGATCTGAAACACTAAGATTCGAAAGACAGAGCAAAGTTTTGAAATGGCCACCAGGGCTCTTACAGAAAAGAATAAAATTAGCAGTGTTACTAAAAAAAAGTAAATCTATAAAAAACTTTGAACACAAATAAGTATTCTTTGGGATCCAGGTATGCATAGGACTAAAGCAGAACTGTGTGAAAATGAGAAATGAGCTTGACTTATTATTTTTTAAGAAATTTTATTTTGGATCATCCAGTTTTCTCCCTATTTTAATTCTGGAACAAAAGTTCACACTAAACACTGAGAAATGTAAGGAGTACTAGCTGGTAGTAACACAAGATTTTCTTTCAAATTTATCCTTGGTCATTATTATGTTGTTTGTGTGCATGTTTATCTCTGGCGAGTTTGAAGGAATAACTATTACTCATGTATTTGGACAAAATTTTGAAGACAATTCGTGCATTGGCAGGGCTGTCATTACAAGGTGGGGGCCGGGGATTTCCCTGGGCTGCTATGAACAAGGCCTCTGGCTACTTTCAAAGGAAAATAGAAGTAATATAGAACCAAAAAAAACCCCTAGCTGTTTGATTCCCCACCTACTTGTTGTATTTACCCAGCAACTTGAAATCTTAGTGACAACCCTGATCAGTGTCACCATTCAACATTTAAACTGATGAAGACAATTACCAGAGAATCACCAGGATTGAGGTTACACACAACTGGGTGAATTGGTAAGATATGCATTGAATAAAGTTTATTTATTCATTATTTATTCATACTGTTGATATTTATTACCCTTTTTAAATCCATTTTGGCTGCAGCCATCTGTTCCTCAAGTTCTGCCATTTCCTTGCCATAAGACTGAAAAGCAAAATCACATCAACATGAACAAAGATACGGCTATCAACAGTCAACTAGTAAACATTTTTAAAGAGTAAGCTAGGTAATTGTAATTATATAGCCGTAGGTAACTAGCATCGACCAGTAAGAATCCTTTTTTTTAAAATATCGCAAATAAAAAACTTTCTAATTAGTTAGGGCCACTGGCTTGTCAGTTTCTAGAACTGTCTTGACAGTCATCCTCTTAATATATAATATGTTAGTTTTTAAAAACAAAACAGTCCCAGGAACTGAAAAGCCAGTGGCCCAAAATAATTGGAGACATTCTCCAGATCAAATTGGAATTTGGACGTGGTTTTGGAGAAGAGAAAAACATACCAAAGCAACTAGAACCAGCAACAAACTCAAACAATAGCATGGTTTTGGGACTTGAGCATCAGCCGGCCACTATGGTGGGAGGCAATTACCACTGGACCAAGTGTATTCTAATAATTAGATCATGATATACTGTACCTTGGCATTTCCTTTGGTTTTTAATGCAGCTTGTGTACTTTCAAGATCTGCTTGGAGTTTACTTCTTTCTCCAATAGCACTTGTGGCCTAAAAAGTAAAAGAATAATTTTTTTTCTCATGGCAAAATTGACTTTCACTACTTTTTAGAATTTACTCAAGCACGCAAGGTAAAACTTTGAGGTTCCAATATTTAAATAAGTTAAGTTAAACTTTAATTTCATCTCACCTTGCCCTCCAAGGTTTTCATCCTTTCTCTAAGCTTTGTATTTTCTTCATTTAATCGATTAATTTCCTGTGTCAAAAAAAGCATCAATCAACAAATTCAGCATAGATACACATCAACAAAAGTATCTATCTTTTATTTAAAGTACTAAAATAAAAGTAAAATACTGTAGGTACAGTACAAGGCCATTTAAATATGGAAATAACATAATGAAATAAAGAGCGAGTTAGAAGTAGAATATAATGACACTGGTTCTTTATCTACCATTCCTGGTTGAATTGGATTTTGGAAATGTTGGTTTTATGTGAGGGGAGGGGAAAACCGAAGTACCTGGAGAAAAACCTCTTTGAGCAAAGGAGAGAACCAGCAACAAACTCAACCCACATACAATGTATGGCATTGATGCCGGGATTTGAACCAGGGCTACATTAGTGGAAGGCGAGTGCTCTCACCACTGCGCCACCCTTGCTCCCGCTCCCCTTACGACTATTAACCCTTTTACTGCCAGAGTGTTTGATGGAGTTTTGTAAGGTGACTCTAACTTTTGAGTCTGTGGACAAAATCCTATGATGTGATCATTCAAATGAAAGCTCTCTGCCTTTACTTTCACATGATGCTATTTGTTTCTCACAATTTTGGAAAACGAAACTTGGAAATTTGGTCAAAACTTACCTTTGACCACATTTGGCAGTGAAAGGGTTAAACCACAATATAGAACATAACACCTGTAGTATTCAGCCTTAAGAATGCAATATAATTTTTACATATTACAAAGCAATGGATAGCTGAGACATGTGCACCAGAGTAGCAATGCCCTATTTTCAAACTGATTCCCAGAAAACTTTGAATTCTTAGGAGAGGGTCCTTCGAAGGATACGGTCACATGGTACTAAAAAACACCTTGCTGGATATGGCACTGCAGTGGAAAAGAAAGGATGTTAGCTTTTTGAATGATGTAATGTCTTTGTGTTTCTTGCCCCTCTAGGTCGTTTGCCATCCAGCAAGGTGTTTTTTGCACCAAGTGACCTTATTCTGCAAAGGAGCCATTACATACAAAATTTCAACACCAAACTTGTAGATTTGGAAAAATCCACAGACTAGGCACCTTTTAGAATCGCTGGTTGATTGATTAAATTTTATCAGTTTTTTACTATTAGCAATCTATTCCACAAACAATTTAAAGAGAAATCCACACAATGGAAATGTCCGAAAATGGTGAAATTTCTGGTGAAATTTTTTGGAAATGCATGTTCAGGAATATGGCATGATTTCATTATCAGATTTAGTGAAAAAAAGGACCTGGAATAGTGTTGAGAATCTTTGCGGATCAGGATTTAACATCACAGAGAGAAATTAAAGAAATCAGTGAGCCAGTAAATCAGAGAGGGAAAATGACCAAATAATACAAGAGTAAAGCATTACACTAACTTTAACAGACAAATGTCTTAATAGTCCTAGATCTTAACTACAGATTAGAACTATTTGCATTTGATCATTTTGTAAACCTAAGCAACAATGCAAATATGACCCAAACAAATGAGTTCTTTCTTGTGAAGGAACTCATGTGTAAAACAAATAAAGATGTTTTAAAAAAGTAACTAATGAGAATTACATTGTAATAATGACTACATGTCTAAACCATCTGACATAGATGCAATGAGGTTATAGAACTATTCACCTTTTGCTGATCACGGATCAACTCTGTTAAGAGTTCTTTTTCTGATACTTGCAGAAGAATCATGGTCGTAACTTAGAAAACCAGTATCAATCCTAGGTCTCCGAGTGAATTCAAAGAACTAATAGAATTTTAGGAAGCTTTTGATTTTTTTCTTCGAATTTATACTGGCACTACCAAACACACAAAATGTTTCCATGGAGTTACAAATTTGATGCTAATTTCTCTTTAATGAAAAAGAAACAATAATAATGATTTATATCAGCCAATTAAAGGTCCTGTGGTTTCTCATAAGGTAAACAATAATTTCAAAGCTGAAGCTATGACGTTTTAGTACATTTCTTTTCCTCAAACTATAATCTTATTTATCAGAAAGATTATTACTATCTGCATTTTCTTGAAAAATCTTCTTAAAAAGTCCAATTTTAATAAAAACAAACAAGAAATGACAAGAAACATGACCAACTATTTTTAGAATTACTATTTAGAAGTACTTATAACATTACAATGTTAAATAATTCATAAACAATGAGGAACCTTACTGAAGGTTTTACTAGTAAATTATTAATGAGGGTTTAGAAAAGAATACTGATAATTATGTCACATAACTAGTGTGGGATAAAACGGATTGGAACTATTAATATTTTTTTTAATAAATAAGATGTTGATAATAATGATTATTGCACATGCTTTGGTTCAAGTACCTTACACTCGCATTTTTCCTTTGTTGCAGGATATGTGCAACAAAGGAAAGTAAGACTTAAAAAAAATAACTTATGGGGAAAGCATCTCCCTCACAACATCTAAGAGTTTAAGAATATGGTATTTTTAAGAAGAAAAAAGAACAATACTGTTTGTGGTTAACAATCTTTATTCTTACACAGATGTTAGAGAGGTAGTGTGGTAGAGAAGTTAGAGCACTGCACTTATTATTCGAGTTCAAGTCCCTTACTGACCACTAGCCAGATTTGTTCAAGATAGTCAGGTGTTCAAATCCTCGGCCACACTTATAAACAGGTAGCTGCTTTACTCCAGCCAGATGGGATTCTTAAACCTGTTAAGTTTCGTATGAATTATTTGTTTCAGGAATTTGCTTGGCCCCATTAACATTAGTGCTACAAATACTGACAAGGGTAAAAAAAACTCATTTTTTTTTTAAATTTATTTATTTATATTAAGTTTATAGTATACTGTTGTACTATCATAATGATGACTGAACTACTTGATGGGTCATTGTAAACACTCACCATTTGAAGTAATGCTGATCCACTGCCTTCATTTAAGGGCTCTAATTTGGTTGCCTGGGACAACTTAGATAACTTAGACTGCAAGAAAAGAAAATAAAAAATTTTACAATTATTAAGTTGTGGAATAAATAGATGACAGTGTCATTTACATGCATGTAAATAAAGACTTGTTAATATTACCTGTGATGTAGATTTGGTGGCAGAGAACTCTCTTTCTTCAAACTTTGCTATTTCCTCTATAAGTTCCCTGGAAAATAAGTTATTAAAATTAATATAAATTAAGCATGCAAGTTATTAACCCACTGCTCTCCACACATTTGCTATAGTACTGATGAGGACAAGTTTTTAACTTTTTCACTTCCAAGAGTCAATGATAGAATCTTCAAAGGTGGTTCTAACTTTTGAGTCTGTGGATGAAATCCTAAAGTGTGACCATTCAAATGAAAGCCACTGAGCAGTACTTTCCTGTGGTACTATTTATTATGTTGTACAAGGTGGTTCTAACTTTTGAGTCTGTGGGTGAAATCCTAAAGTGTGATCATTTAAGTGAAGCTGCTTAGCGGTCCTTTCCTGTGGTACTGTTTATTATGTTGTGCAAGGCGGTTCTTACCTTTGAGTCTGTGGATGAAGTCCTTTAGAAAGTGTGACCATTCAAATGAAAGCCACTGAGCAGTACTTATCCTGTGGTACCGTTTATTATGTTGTACAAGGTGGTTCTTACTTTTGAGTCTGTGGATGAAATCCTAAAGTGTGATCATTTAAGTGAAAGCTGCTTTATAGTGGTCCTTTCCTGAGGTACTGTTTATTATGTTGTACAAGGTTGTTCTAACATTTGAGCCCATAGATGAAATCCTTAAGTGTGACCATTCAAATGAAACCTCTTTAGCAGTACTTTCATGTTAGTAGTATTATTTCTTTTTCAGCAATTTATAAAATAAATGACATTCTGAAAGGTTGGCAAATTCTGACTTTTGCTACTTCTAGGAATAAAAGGCGTACCAATAAAGACCAATTTTTACACGTTCAACATTAATGCTTTTTCTCACAGCATTCATGTTTGACTGAGTAGTGTTACTACAAGGAGAAACCGAATGTTGGTCACTCTTAGGGGGTTACAGGCACTGTTGTAACAAATTGGCCATGAATTCCTTTGAATGAATTTGAAAATTCCATTGATTTTTTCAGCAAGTGAAAAGATTCCAATATTTAAATAAGTTAAGTTAAACTTTAATTTCATCTCACCTTGCCCTCCAAGGTTTTCATCCTTTCTCTAAGCTTTGTATTTTCTTCATTTAATCGATTAATTTCCTGTGTCAAAAAAAGCATCAATCAACAAATTCAGCATAGATACACATCAACAAAAGTATCTATCTTTTATTTAAAGTACTAAAATAAAAGTAAAATACTGTAGGTACAGTACAAGGCCATTTAAATATGGAAATAACATAATGAAATAAAGAGCGAGTTAGAAGTAGAATATAATGACACTGGTTCTTTATCTACCATTCCTGGTTGAATTGGATTTTGGAAATGTTGGTTTTATGTGAGGGGAGGGGAAAACCGAAGTACCTGGAGAAAAACCTCTTTGAGCAAAGGAGAGAACCAGCAACAAACTCAACCCACATACAATGTATGGCATTGATGCCGGGATTTGAACCAGGGCTACATTAGTGGAAGGCGAGTGCTCTCACCACTGCGCCACCCTTGCTCCCGCTCCCCTTACGACTATTAACCCTTTTACTGCCAGAGTGTTTGATGGAGTTTTGTAAGGTGACTCTAACTTTTGAGTCTGTGGACAAAATCCTATGATGTGATCATTCAAATGAAAGCTCTCTGCCTTTACTTTCACATGATGCTATTTGTTTCTCACAATTTTGGAAAACGAAACTTGGAAATTTGGTCAAAACTTACCTTTGACCACATTTGGCAGTGAAAGGGTTAAACCACAATATAGAACATAACACCTGTAGTATTCAGCCTTAAGAATGCAATATAATTTTTACATATTACAAAGCAATGGATAGCTGAGACATGTGCACCAGAGTAGCAATGCCCTATTTTCAAACTGATTCCCAGAAAACTTTGAATTCTTAGGAGAGGGTCCTTCGAAGGATACGGTCACATGGTACTAAAAAACACCTTGCTGGATATGGCACTGCAGTGGAAAAGAAAGGATGTTAGCTTTTTGAATGATGTAATGTCTTTGTGTTTCTTGCCCCTCTAGGTCGTTTGCCATCCAGCAAGGTGTTTTTTGCACCAAGTGACCTTATTCTGCAAAGGAGCCATTACATACAAAATTTCAACACCAAACTTGTAGATTTGGAAAAATCCACAGACTAGGCACCTTTTAGAATCGCTGGTTGATTGATTAAATTTTATCAGTTTTTTACTATTAGCAATCTATTCCACAAACAATTTAAAGAGAAATCCACACAATGGAAATGTCCGAAAATGGTGAAATTTCTGGTGAAATTTTTTGGAAATGCATGTTCAGGAATATGGCATGATTTCATTATCAGATTTAGTGAAAAAAAGGACCTGGAATAGTGTTGAGAATCTTTGCGGATCAGGATTTAACATCACAGAGAGAAATTAAAGAAATCAGTGAGCCAGTAAATCAGAGAGGGAAAATGACCAAATAATACAAGAGTAAAGCATTACACTAACTTTAACAGACAAATGTCTTAATAGTCCTAGATCTTAACTACAGATTAGAACTATTTGCATTTGATCATTTTGTAAACCTAAGCAACAATGCAAATATGACCCAAACAAATGAGTTCTTTCTTGTGAAGGAACTCATGCGTAAAACAAATAAAGATGTTTTAAAAAAGTAACTAATGAGAATTACATTGTAATAATGACTACATGTCTAAACCATCTGACATAGATGCAATGAGGTTATAGAACTATTCACCTTTTGCTGATCACGGATCAACTCTGTTAAGAGTTCTTTTTCTGATACTTGCAGAAGAATCATGGTCGTAACTTAGAAAACCAGTATCAATCCTAGGTCTCCGAGTGAATTCAAAGAACTAATAGAATTTTAGGAAGCTTTTGATTTTTTTCTTCGAATTTATACTGGCACTACCAAACACACAAAATGTTTCCATGGAGTTACAAATTTGATGCTAATTTCTCTTTAATGAAAAAGAAACAATAATAATGATTTATATCAGCCAATTAAAGGTCCTGTGGTTTCTCATAAGGTAAACAATAATTTCAAAGCTGAAGCTATGACGTTTTAGTACATTTCTTTTCCTCAAACTATAATCTTATTTATCAGAAAGATTATTACTATCTGCATTTTCTTGAAAAATCTTCTTAAAAAGTCCAATTTTAATAAAAACAAACAAGAAATGACAAGAAACATGACCAACTATTTTTAGAATTACTATTTAGAAGTACTTATAACATTACAATGTTAAATAATTCATAAACAATGAGGAACCTTACTGAAGGTTTTACTAGTAAATTATTAATGAGGGTTTAGAAAAGAATACTGATAATTATGTCACATAACTAGTGTGGGATAAAACGGATTGGAACTATTAATATTTTTTTTAATAAATAAGATGTTGATAATAATGATTATTGCACATGCTTTGGTTCAAGTACCTTACACTCGCATTTTTCCTTTGTTGCAGGATATGTGCAACAAAGGAAAGTAAGACTTAAAAAAAATAACTTATGGGGAAAGCATCTCCCTCACAACATCTAAGAGTTTAAGAATATGGTATTTTTAAGAAGAAAAAAGAACAATACTGTTTGTGGTTAACAATCTTTATTCTTACACAGATGTTAGAGAGGTAGTGTGGTAGAGAAGTTAGAGCACTGCACTTATTATTCGAGTTCAAGTCCCTTACTGACCACTAGCCAGATTTGTTCAAGATAGTCAGGTGTTCAAATCCTCGGCCACACTTATAAACAGGTAGCTGCTTTACTCCAGCCAGATGGGATTCTTAAACCTGTTAAGTTTCGTATGAATTATTTGTTTCAGGAATTTGCTTGGCCCCATTAACATTAGTGCTACAAATACTGACAAGGGTAAAAAAAACTCATTTTTTTTTTAAATTTATTTATTTATATTAAGTTTATAGTATACTGTTGTACTATCATAATGATGACTGAACTACTTGATGGGTCATTGTAAACACTCACCATTTGAAGTAATGCTGATCCACTGCCTTCATTTAAGGGCTCTAATTTGGTTGCCTGGGACAACTTAGATAACTTAGACTGCAAGAAAAGAAAATAAAAAATTTTACAATTATTAAGTTGTGGAATAAATAGATGACAGTGTCATTTACATGCATGTAAATAAAGACTTGTTAATATTACCTGTGATGTAGATTTGGTGGCAGAGAACTCTCTTTCTTCAAACTTTGCTATTTCCTCTATAAGTTCCCTGGAAAATAAGTTATTAAAATTAATATAAATTAAGCATGCAAGTTATTAACCCACTGCTCTCCACACATTTGCTATAGTACTGATGAGGACAAGTTTTTAACTTTTTCACTTCCAAGAGTCAATGATAGAATCTTCAAAGGTGGTTCTAACTTTTGAGTCTGTGGATGAAATCCTAAAGTGTGACCATTCAAATGAAAGCCACTGAGCAGTACTTTCCTGTGGTACTATTTATTATGTTGTACAAGGTGGTTCTAACTTTTGAGTCTGTGGGTGAAATCCTAAAGTGTGATCATTTAAGTGAAGCTGCTTAGCGGTCCTTTCCTGTGGTACTGTTTATTATGTTGTGCAAGGCGGTTCTTACCTTTGAGTCTGTGGATGAAGTCCTTTAGAAAGTGTGACCATTCAAATGAAAGCCACTGAGCAGTACTTATCCTGTGGTACCGTTTATTATGTTGTACAAGGTGGTTCTTACTTTTGAGTCTGTGGATGAAATCCTAAAGTGTGATCATTTAAGTGAAAGCTGCTTTATAGTGGTCCTTTCCTGAGGTACTGTTTATTATGTTGTACAAGGTTGTTCTAACATTTGAGCCCATAGATGAAATCCTTAAGTGTGACCATTCAAATGAAACCTCTTTAGCAGTACTTTCATGTTAGTAGTATTATTTCTTTTTCAGCAATTTATAAAATAAATGACATTCTGAAAGGTTGGCAAATTCTGACTTTTGCTACTTCTAGGAATAAAAGGCGTACCAATAAAGACCAATTTTTACACGTTCAACATTAATGCTTTTTCTCACAGCATTCATGTTTGACTGAGTAGTGTTACTACAAGGAGAAACCGAATGTTGGTCACTCTTAGGGGGTTACAGGCACTGTTGTAACAAATTGGCCATGAATTCCTTTGAATGAATTTGAAAATTCCATTGATTTTTTCAGCAAGTGAAAAGAAGATTTAAAGTGGACAAACAACTGTGTTCAAGTGTCATCTAATCATGGCAAAAGCATTCTACTGAAACGAAAAAAGATGTCAAGAACATCACAGCAAAGCATTTTTCAGCAACAGTGAACACATGATTTCCTTGGCTGGAGATATTACAATACAAAGAACAGATGAAAACCATGTCTAAATTGTTGAGACACCCAGAGAACTGAATGCTGAGTTTTTACAAACATTCCAATGGTCTTGGTCTGTCACTTCATTCTGTGAGTTTTTAAGATACCCATCTCGGGCCAGGGGTTAGGTTAGAGCTTAAAGGTCTAAATTGTGTCTAACCCAAGACAGGGCTCATTTTTGTTACATTAGGTAAAAAAAAAATGGCAGGCAAGGCAAACAAACAGTGCAAACCATGTAAACGTGTGAGAGCCACTAAAATTTGGCCTGGTCTCAGGTTAAATTTTTGTGAAAGTCCTTGTTCCAAGCTTGCAAAACCCTGAATGTTTTCCATCATTATTACATGACTAAACTTCAAATTTACCAGTTAAAGGAGTGCTGGGAATAGAGCTCCACATCATGCCTGATAAAATACTGATTCCCCTTTTATTTGCCATGCATATGCTTTTAATTCAAAGGAGGAAGCTGAGTTGACCACGAGTCACTCTGGGCCTTATTTCAAACACTTGTTCAATTACTACTGTTGAGGATAATGATGCCTTCCAGTTCTATAAAAAGTATGAAAACATACCTATTTTCAAGCTCAGATATATCAGCCTGTAATTTGAGATGCCATTTTTCAGCCTGACTAAACACTTGTCTAAGAAGTAAGACATTTGTGTGTGCAGCATTTATAAGTTCAGATTCAACTTCTCCCCTCACCACAGCACAGAGGCCATCCAGCATGTCAGTAACTTCATCAAGAGTGTATGTGTCGTCAACAAGTCTGCAATTTTAATTTTAAAAAACAGTACTCCTCAATATTATAAACTACCATAAACTTCAACTTATATACAGTCTGTAAGCCCACTCATATAAGACCCCCAGCTATAGGTCCATCTACCTGTAAACAAAAAAAATTCATCCTGGTACTTGCCACACCCCCTCCCCAATATAAGCCCCCCTCTAGCTTGTATTGAAATGAATTAAGTATTTTATGGTTTTGTCTTTTGAAGCTTAAAACAGCGAGTCACTTCAAAAAGCTTGTTTTGAAACACTCTTTTTAGTCCCACTATACCCTCCCCGTTTGGATAACCCCCTGGTTTAAGCAGAAGTTAATGGTGAGTTAATAATCAAAGGTAAGGGAGTGCAGGCAAGATCGACATGAAGGTCGAAATGCTCTGGCCCAAACACTATGGTTTGCATAAGTATCATGTGATAAAAGGCAGCGTGCAAAGAAACTAGTGTCTGATAGCCCAGGGCTAGGGGATTTTGCTATCCGGCTAGATAATTCTGTTTTTAACTTGCCCAATGGGCAGGTGATGTTTTTTGAGGAATTGGAATAACAGAAGAACTGTGAAATTAATTCTGCTCATCAAAAAGCTTTTGGGGCTAGTTGAAATGATGTCTGGGCTAGTAAATGCTAGCTTCAGCTTGCCCGAATGGCAAGCTGTAAAAATGATTTTCTTTGCACCCTGAAAGGTCAAAATGTTTGTGATCAGATTATGAGTGGTAGAAGGTCCAAACCCACATGATCAAAACGAATGCCGGCTACATACGTGTTGTGCAGGCATAATAGCAGCCTTGAGATCAGCTCTTCTGGTCACCCCCAATAAGGAATATGAAATTATGGTGAATTTTAAGCCTGGTAAAATGTAGTTAAATCAAATTCAGTGCAGGTCTCAACAAAGAGGGGCCATGATGTTGTAGGCTTGATTTCCGCCCCTCTCTCGGTTCTGCCAGGGAGAAGAGAAGGTCTGTTTGGGGGAGAAGCTCAGGCTCATTTCCCGAACTAGGCTGGTATCCGAGCCTAATATTATTGGTCAGTGGTCAATCAGTAAGCCTTGGTTGCATCCGCTCCTTGTGGGTAGCATGCTGGTGGCTACTGGGCTTCTTTTAGCCTTTGGATATTGTGCTTTACCCCACCCCTCCCTACCTTATGTTTTCTGCCTTTTTCTCCACCCCTCCCAGCCATGAACATGGCTGGGAGGGGTGGATTTAACAGCTGTAAGGATACAACTCTATCTGCAAACTGGCTGTGCCAGAAGTGGAGCCCACTGAACAACGCAAGCACCCAGCCTCCACCAAGTGATGCACAAACAGAACCACAATTGAGAAATGTTTTCCAATGAGCGACAATGGCGACTGGGACAAAAAAAATCCCAGTTCAAACCCATGGCATTCTGGTCACTATTTCACATGCTCTGCTGGTGATTCCCCTCAAACATAAACAAAGAACAAAACTAAATCACAACATGCTATATATGTACACAATATACCTGCTATCTTTGAGTTCTTCAAAAGATGCATCTACACCTCTAAGCCTCTGTGCTCGGCCATAGCGAGCAAATCTAAGGTAGTTAACTACAATTTGTTGATGATGCTCATTTAGTCCAATATCCTGAAACATAACATGTACAATCAACTTACAACTGTACAGACCAATCTGAAAAGCACCTGGGATATGACTTGTGAAAACATGGTATCGTAAATGATCTGATAGATGCCAACTCTCAAATAAATGCCTCTTATCTAATAAACAGCCCCTCTACAATGCCCTTCTCTAATAAACATCCCTTGTCTACTGGACACCCCCTATGACAATATATTACTCCAAAATACTAGGAATTAACAAAAAGGTGCAAAATCATGCTATTTATTCAGTTTCTTACTTGATAAACAAGGGTTTGCATATCATATCATGTTCAATGCCAAGTTCAAAGTAAAATTAGACCAACAATAACAACACAAGGACCCTTAGCGAGGATTCTGACAACATAGAATATTGAGATTTGAAAAAGCAGGGTGGATGTCTAGATAGCCTAGACATTATTGATGGACAGGATACTCCTCTATTTCTTACCTCATGATATTTTCACCGAAAGTATATTAGTTTTGTTCAGCTCATTACAATTATTAGGGTAACTGCCTCTCTCTTTTAAACACCCCTTATTTATGAATTATATAAATGCCCCCCCCTCAGGCCCCTAAAATTATATAAATGCTCCGGCCATTTTTTCGATCAGTTACGGTATTTGCTATGACAACAGACAGTCCAGTTCCCTGCTAGCAGAGGTCTCTCATGACAAGACAAAATCTCCTTCCTCTCATTTTTGCCTCGTCATGAGAGACCTCTGCCAGCAGGGAAACAGTCCCATGGTTCGTGCAACTCCAGACAAACAAATTTCAAGGACTTTTCAAGGTTTTTCATGGAAAAAATTACAGTTTTCAAGGACGAAGATTTATCCAATAAATCGGTATTCTTTAACCCCCTTCGATCAACCTATTGGCTAAAACACGTCATGGAGTCATTTACGGTTTAAACTTCTTTGGCCATCGTTCATTACATAATTTTATACTACTTTCCGCAACAAAACTTCGCAAAATGACTGGGTATGACTTGCAATTGCATTTGAGGTACAGAAATAGCATTTTAAATAAAGAAAAAGAAATAAAATATTGTTCATGCACAAAAATGTTTTAAGGCCTGTGAGTTTTACAGGTTCTTGCAGGGCTGTCAAAAAGTTTTTAAGTGGCAGGCTGATAACGAATAGTAGGCGGCTTTGGAACTCGCACCAAAGGCACAAGTTCTTGAGGACCGAGGCATCTAAGGACATTTTGGAATTTAGAGTCTCGGAAACCCTATTTCCAGGGGTTTTCAAGAGGTATTTTTCCATCGCGGACGCCATGTTGCTTCGTCAGAATACACGCAAGACTGGGAACGATGCCGTCAAAGTGTCCCAGGCGTTTCACAACATGGCATGGTTCGAACGTTTCACAGATCTAGACTTGTTCAATATACGTTCAATGTCATTGATTATCATTATTCGATGGTACTTATTTTTTGTTAGCGGTTATGGTAGAAGGAGATGAAAGTAGCCGGCTAAGGATGGCTAACTAGCCGGCGGTTTTGGCCGGCTACCGGCCCTTATTGACAGCCCTGATCTTGCACTGAGGATGAGCCAAACTTTCCTCGTCAAAATAATCTAATTTTATACAGAAAAAGGTGTCTGGTTTAGACAAGGTTGTAAATTTCAAGGACTTTTCAAGGCCTAATAAAGAAATCAAGTACTTTTCTAGGACCTTAACTGAATTCAAGGACTTTTCAAGACGACTAGTAAATTTCAAGACCTTTTCAAGATTGCACAAACCATGCAGTCCAGACATTTGGGCATACCGGTATTTAGCAGCAACATCCCTGTGTTTGTGTTTAATCTATGACTACTGCTACCAAATAAATACAAATGAATATGCCTTCCTCTTTATTTATTTAAGCGAACGGCAATAAATTTAATTGCATTGCTGAATTATACTAGGAGTATAAAACAGCTGTATTTTGTAAATAATGGCCCAAGCGCATATGCTCCTTTAAACATAAATTAAAAAATTGCCTCGTCATTAAAACTACATTTCCCTCAGTGACAGCAAAATTAGAAGCACAAAATCGACGTTGTAGGTCGAACAATTCAAGCACCTTTGTTTTGAGTAATCCAAAATTAAACAGTTGCTACTAAGGCGAAAATAATTTAAGCTTAATAAGTTTATTATTCAAGTGTTCGGCAAAATTAAACTTGGTTCGATCTGTGCAGTTTCCATATAAACTTCAAGAAACAATCTTCCCGCACTTAAAAATGTTAAAACAAAGCCTTCATGGTTTCTCTTGCAGTGAGACAATTTAATTCAAGAAAACTAAACATCTTACATGTAGCTTCTGCTGTCATATCATTACTTCATAATAGTACCCCGTTTTGAGGTGGTGAAATTAAAATAAACCAACTTACCATAACTGCAATTTTAGCTCCCAAAGATAGGGATGTATGAATTCTCGGCAATAAATTTCTAATTTATAGATTTTGTACGTGGGAAGGACAAGAATAAGGGAAGTTATAAATCCTTCTTGAAATCCAACCGGGACGCATCACGAAGCCATGGCAAAATGAAGAGCTTGGTAGCCAGGCAACAGAAACATTTCAACATGGCGACTTTCCCGCCTTTTAAAATTGTTTTTTAAAAAAAGAATTTTTTTTTCGTCGAATTTTGGGTCGATCGGGTGAAAAAAGAGACGTAAAAAAAACACAAGAAATCTGCGAATAGGAGCATTGCCGTGGAGCCTGGAAAACGACAACTCAATATGGATGATGCTCGATGTCACAGGGACCGTAGCCTGCGTGGCAGGCGTTATTAAAAATAGCCTATGAACAGGCTCTCTGTTTGAGGAAAAATAGCGAGGGAAGGGAAGGGAAAGGGGCTTTTCGCTTTTCCCTCTCCCCACCCCGCTCAGGCTAGCGTTAAAAGGGGAAGGGAAAGGGGGAATTTGGGCGCGAGAGAGCGCGTGAGGCGAGAAAACGCTTTCTGTTTTTGTGATTCATGCCTATTTAAAAGACAGTGCATTAACAGCAGTTAAAAGGGATGCAAGCTTCTAAATATGTATATGAATGGGGTACAACTTGTCAATAGAAGGTGCACAAAAGGAATACCTTTTCTGTCCAAAATGGCATACAAAAAGGTAAGGGGTCGGACTCCCTGTACAAAAGTTTGTGGAGTGCACCTCCGATTACAGTCGCCTCTCATCGTTCTCCGTCAATGAAAGGTGGTAGAATTCGCATCCTTAAGTATTTTCTTTAATTAAAATACACACCTGACGTTAAAAATGGGTAGGTTTTTGCTATTTTCAGGATCAACCCTCTTCTGAAGAGGTCCTTATAAATGAACTTTACTAATAAAAAGCGAAGAGAGATTAACCTTTGTTTGTAGTGGAGGTGCACTTAGCGTTTCCGCCGGGTGGCAGGCACTCCACCTAAGTAATATGAAACATATAATTCAGTTTTAACAGATGATTCCTTTCTCATCTAGCTGGGTATTTGCGTGCTTTTTTCGTTTGGCCTGATAATATGGTAAGCGCGTGGAGCGCGAGAACACGCCCTCGATGATAGCAGAGTCTCTGCTAGGTAACCACTTGCTCAAACAAATATGGAAAAGGTGTCGTTGATTTTTAATATCTGACGTATACAAAGGAGACTCGTAGAGAAAGTTCAGTGATCCATATTTCACTCCATAGTTACTTGTAATGTAGTTGAACAGGCAAAAGCAGGAGTAAACTCCTAGCTAAGTTTATAACGTGCTTGTTAGGCTAGTGCCATAACCAGTTCCTACCTGAACTCATTATTCAGTTAAACTGTTCTCCTTCCTTATGTCCATATAGTTTTCTTTTACCATTGTACTTTTTAAGTTTTACCATTTACTACTATTATTTCTAATTGCTCTCCCTATTTTTTGCTTCCTCTTCATTCAATTTCTTTTTTTTCCCGACTTTTGAACTATGTAATTATTTCTACTGTTATTAATAGCTCCGCTGATTGTGGGTAACATAATAGTAAATTATTTTCAAATTGAAAAACTGTTGTTGTTGTTGTTGTAGGTAAAATATGGACAAAAATTCTCCTAAACCTAGCATAGGTGCCAGAGATTCTTCATGCGCCAAACCCTCTGGCGCCCAAGGTATTAAACGCGACTTTGCCTTGCATAGAGAAAGGAGAATTAAGAAATTAATGTTAACAGTTTCTTGTAATGTAAACTAAGCTTTAACACAGATATGTAGTTTGTAAAGTGTTTGGAAACGAGTGACAAGATGAATTACATCACAAGAAGTGAAACATAACTTCTTTTTGGCACTTTTCTATCAAGCACATAACAGAATCCCTACTCGATTTCTTTCGCGACCTCTTTCACGACAGATTAGTACAGCCTAACGCCCGTAAGCGACCACCCAAACTGCGAAGATGTAGCAGCTCCCTTACAGGAGGTGGTCGCTTGCGAGAATCGACAAACAGGAGGTCTCTTCCAAGAAGAGGTCCCAACGCATCTTATTTTTTTAATGATAATTAGTTATTGCACGCAATTTCTAAGTTACGTATAAGTATAGTTCCATGTTTTTCCATGAGATCACATCATGCGTCAAGTGATCGTTTAAAAGAGGTTAAAAACAATGGAAAATATATCCGTCATGCCAAAAATTGGTTGTGGTTGCTTATAAGGGGTGGTCGGCACGTTCTGATTATAGGGATTTGACCAGGGGCACCCAACGAGAATGTAGTTCAAAAGCAGTTAAACATAGCATTGTTGAACGTATTTTGGTATTTAAACGGTAGATGTAGGCATATTTTTATCCCCTAAAACTTTTTCATCTGTTCGGATTTCCTAGCTGAAAGTCTAGTGATCCGAAAATTATAGGGATCAAAACTTACCTTTTCGAAAATTTCAGCCAGAAAAAAGGCTTCCGAAAATTCTAGGTGACCTTTTTAGGATAAAAATCCGTTAAAAATGAGCAATTATACCATTTTTTAGATGTTCGAAAATCCTAGGAGAGGCAGGCAAGCAAGAAATTTTACAGCATACGTTCCGAAAAGTCTA